AAAAACCAAAAACTTTTGAGGTTATGTGAAAAAAGTGTAAATACAAAAGTTGTAGATCTGGTGTCGAGAGTACAGATGGATATGTTTCTATCTTTAGAAAGTAAATTAGAGTGTGTCCGTTTCCTAGGCGTCTTATCTAGAGAATCGAGTAATTGGTTTCACGCTTTACCATCAAGTAACTTTGGCACATTACTTCACGATAAAAACTTACGCATTGCTGTAGGAATCCATCTAGGACACCAATTTGTCAACCCTACTAATGCCCTTGTGTTGTCAATTTAGAAAAATTTAGTCACCACTAAATAGCTGGTGACAAGATAGCTGGTTCTTTTCTGGCTCAAAGGTTAAGCATAACTATTCAGCGAGGAAATGCAGCTTGTGTTCTTGGCACTATGCCACGTGCATTAGGCGTAATAGATAATATGTAAATTTGGATGGATATTCGCCCGGTTTCTGAAACACTGTTCATTTCAAATGGATTTTCAAATGTTATTTGAATTGCCAAAAGGATTTTTAACTGCACACAAACCCTCTGAATTGATCAGAATGATCTTCTTAATGATCAGAATGATCAATTCAAAGACACAATTGACAGATGGTTAGGTGACTACTATCTTCTATAAGTGTTTCAGAAACCGGTGGTTAATGTTGTAAATGTTGGATAAATAAATTGTATTGAAAAAAATTTTACCAAAAGAAAGCCACGTCATTTGCGTATGTCATAGGCTGTATATTATCCTGAAAAATGAAAAGAATTTTTCGTGGTAGCCAGATTTGCCAAGTAAGTCAGAGAAAAAGAAGGCCGAACGAAAACTTTTCTTACGAACGCTGCCTTAACGCTATGAGATATTATATTATGATTGAGTTATACAGAAAAATTTTAGAACTTGATAATGCATACAAAAAAATCACCTACAGCATAATATGCATAACCCCACGCACAATAAGAAGGATCTTTTGCCGCGCATGGCTAGATGGTGGGTGTATCTACAAGAGTTTACTTTCAATATTCAGTACAAAAAAGGGCAATGTTGCCACACGCGGATAACTTAAGCCGTAGTCCAACTAAACTCGGTAAATAACATAATTGACCGCGTAATTAGGCTCAAATTTCACAGTCTGCTTACGAGGAGACTAGGCAAATACTTCGTTCCTTAGATTAGAGGCAGTTAGATACAACACGATATGTCAGGAGAAATGACATCCTTTATTATCGTTATGCACCCACAGGAGAAATCCCGCGACTACTTTGTTATACATATACCAAAAAGCCGCCGTTTAAATATTCTCCGTATTTTTCACGACGGGAACAGTCATTGTAGCTCTGATAAGACAGCCGATCTCATTTTAGACACTTCTGGTTTCCTGGCCTCATGGCATTTATTTTCAAATACATTTCACACTCTCTGACATGTATCGCACATAAGCGAGTTCCTCGAGCTAAATTACAACCCATATCCTCATGGACAAAACCTGAAACTCCCTTTGCATGTAGATACTGTAGAGGCATTACCTAAAAGTCGCCGTCACAAACACAATGCTTGTAGTAGACTCATTTACTAAATTCTGTTTTCCCTTTGCAATGCCTCGCCAAGATGTACATGAATGAAAATGCAAAATGTTATCTCTCTTTTTGGCACTCCTAAAACGATTATTTGCGATAGGGGTACGATGTACCAACATCACGCACCAAGGCACGCATCACCCGTGATACGTGCCTTGGTGCGTGATGTTGATGGTGATCTTGAGGTTAAACATGTAATAACCAGAACATTTTTTAAATTCTGCTTGGTGAGTATTTTATTAATGATTTTTCTTTACCGAATAAAAATTTTTTACGGAGATAAACACCCGGAAACTAAAGGAAATTAATACCATTTTTTTTAGATTGGCTCCATCAAGGATAGCTTGATGATTGTGCCAATGTCAAGGGTGAATAAAACAGAGTGTTATTGATAAAATTCCTAAGTAGTGATGGCTTTTGTACGGTATTTAGAACATCATACTTAATTGGTTGATATACTAGAACAGAAACTAAACAATTTGTTAGAAGATTAATAAATTAAAAAAAAAATAATAACTAAGGATGACTAAAATGTAAAGGACGACACAATAATTACAAGGAGGAGAAATGCAGTCTGGCGAAACTAGGAACAAAAAATTTTTCTATGGACTTTACGGGGCAAATAATGGCGGACATTGCTATCACTCTCGCTCAATGCGGTTTCTCTTTCTTGCAATACAAGATGTTACAAAGACAAGTGCCATGTTGTTTGTCAAAACTTAATTTTGCACCGCGTATTTTGAATGTAAATGCTTATTTCATTGTAAATTTAAATTGCTTAGAGTAAACTTTCTCACGAAAACTGGTGACAGGTGATCAGAGTTGTACTTTTAATTCAAAATGCCAAAAAGACGGTTTATTTATACCTTTGAAATAGGTGAAAATCGAGCAAGTCATTCGAACCTTGAAAAAAGGATGTTTATGGCGAGATTTCCTTTAGATAAAGCCCATGTAAGCACTTAAATGTGATACTTTGCAGCCATATGTAAGAAGATCAGGCTAAAAAAAAAAAATATAATTTATCTCATTTAAATTGTGTGCTAGTGATGTTGCAACTGTAATATCCACATATCGATAACTACGTTAATGTTTATCACTGAAAAAAAAAAAGAAATAAAATGTTGCCTGAAAGAGTAGGAGCACAAAGTTTTACATATTTGAATGGTGTGCCTACATAAATGAGCAAGGATCGGAATAAGTGAATTTTGCAGGATTTTGAAACATAATCTCTGTAATATTGATACGTCATATAATTAATTTCGTGCGCTGAGTATGCAAGAAAACTAAAATAATTTTTGGATTTTGATTCTATTTATATGTTTCAATTATTTCCAGACACGTGTACAACAGGACAACAGCTGTTGGCTGAAGAATCAAGAGACAAGAAATAAATTTCATTTCAGTAATAAAATTTTATTTGAATTATCAGAAACCGTTTTTTATCTTATTTCGGGTCCGCATTTAAGTCCAATCTTGTATTAGTACCAAATATCCCCTCATCAACATTGGAAATAAATACGGACTCCATACTTACCTAAAATTAAAAAAAATATATTAAGAGGAAACCTCGCTTTCTACCTAGTATGTTTTATCGATATCGATAAGAAGCTAAGCTAGCTTGGTTAAGCTCTATTTGTCTCGTTACGTTGGTACTACTGTTGTTTGAAATCTTTGTATTTTTGTGGTATGGTTGGTATTGGAGTGCCGCGTAAACTGATATTTTTGGCTAGTATGGAAGTCCCGTCTCTTAAACGTAGTGATTACATTCTCTTTGAAATCATCTTTGAGAAATGGGAATGTCAAAGCTTTATATTATTAGTACAGAGGAGTTTATGTAGCACTTTGACAACATGTGTCATTAAGTATCTTGTATTAACTGATGTTTTTGCTAGTGTTAACCGGCGGGACCCCGGGTGATGGGTCCACCGTATCTAAGTCCCCTTCCTCTACCGGGTGGATGAGGACGTTTCGCGGGCGACGCTTGTTGACGTTCGCGTTTGTGTCGGGTTGGTAATTTGCTGCGCTTACCACCAGAGGGTTGGGATGCTGTTCGGCTCTATAGAAGAACCGTTTGGTCATTTTCCAGTTTATAATCCTTAGTTAGTTATAATTTTTATCTTTTTTTGTATTTTATTTTTAAATTCTCTTTTTTTGTAAATTGCAACTCTTTATTGTATGATTCTGACAAACAACACCAAAGATAACTAACCAGTTTACCAAAGAGTACATTATTAATATAGTCATCAGTCTCCTCCTCTATAAAGAGAGTATTATATTCTTTGGTCTCCTCGTGTGACAGCGCCATCTCTTGATACGGGAACGAACTACACGAACGAACGAACTAGAAAACTGTAATTTAATACAAGCTTGCTAGATGTTATTTTTGGAGTAAGTAAATAAAATACAGAAATATGTTTTGTGCTTTTTTATAATATTCACTCGCTTATTTGTAATTTTTTTATTTAATTTTTTAAATTTTTTTTTTTTTAACATTGCCCTTACTTTAGGATAACTTTATCCTGTGTTGTAAGGACGTTTTACAAACATAAATTTCACGCGGACAAACACCCAGATGCGAAACAACTATCTGTGGGTCACACACATATATGTCCCGTGTGGGAATCGAACCCACGGCCCCCGACGCCGAAGCCAACACCTTGGCCACTGCGCCACGGAATCAAGTCAAGTCATCAATCAATAATCTTTGTTATGAATGATTTCGAGTCTGGTGCCGTAATAGTAAATTATTTACGTTAAATTATTTTTGGCTATCCAAAATCAGTAAATTTCCTCCAATTAATTGAATCCATGTTACAAATCTGTCACTATCAGTTTCAGGTGAGGAAAAGAATGCAAATTTGCGTTGCAGTCTTTATCTGTAAATATAATATGAATGTTTTGCCCTAACGTATAACAAAATAAAATGATGAATAATGAAAGATAACCGAATAAAATAAATGAATAATAATCGGTCGCAGTTCAGTGTTACCAACTGTTGAAAAAAAATTTTGTTTAATAAAATACAATTTTCTCCAAAATAAGAACCATACATAATTTTTTTAAACTCAAAATAAAATTTTGTTTTAAATTTAATGGTACCATAGTTAAAATGGTTTTGCATTTAAAACAACGCTATCTGTTTTTGACGGATGGAACTAAACGGAATGAGCAAGTTCCACACAAATTTAAATGTATGGACTGAAAAGACCGTGCAGTTTACGTTTTGGACAACACAACCGACTCCTTAGAGTATATTTATGTTCTGTGAACACAACTGAGCACAGAACACTTTTACTCAAAGAGTGACAATGACATGGCAGAGCAACTGAGTGGTAGTGACATCAAACTTAACATAACCTATGATTTGTGTCGTGTGAAGTGTGAACATGTGTTCAGCAATTGTTATTAAATGAAGTAAAATTACTTCAATCACAAGATGGGAAAAAAAAGTAAAGTAGGAAAACAGCGAAAAGACAAATATTATCAGCTTGCTAAGGAAACAGGTATATATTGACAGTTACGTATAACGTAACGCTAATCATGATAGAGTGAGAATTATATTATTAAATTAAAATTACAGGTTATCGTTCTCGAGCAGCGTTTAAATTAATACAATTGAATAGAAAGTTTGGTTTTTTACAAAAATCACGAGTATGTATCGACTTGTGTGCCGCTCCTGGTGGTTGGATGCAGGTGGCACATCAGAATATGCCTGTCTCAAGCATTGTAATCGGTGTAGATTTATTTCCTATCAAGGCTGTTCCCGGTTGTATTGCTTTAACAGAAGATATCACAACAGAAAAATGTAAGACGGCTATAAAGAAAGAAATAAAAACATGGAAAGCAGATGTCGTGTTGAATGATGGAGCACCTAATGTTGGTCTCAACTGGATTCATGATGCATATCAACAAGCATGCTTAACTCTTAGTGCATTAAAATTAGCAACCTGTTTTCTAAGAGATGGAGGATGGTTCATTACAAAAGTATTTAGATCAAAGGATTATCATGCACTCTTGTGGGTATTTAAGCAGTTTTTTAAGAAAGTTCATGCAACAAAACCACAAGCCTCTCGTAATGAGTCATCAGAAATTTTTGTGGTGTGTCAGGGATATATTGCTCCTGATAGCATAGATCCTAAATTCCTTGATGCTAAGTATGTCTTTGAAGATTTGGAAATAGTTAAAAAACAAAATTTTAATATAATGCATCCTGAAAAGCAAAAAAAAGCTAAAGCTGAGGGTTATAAAGAAAATGATTATACCACCCATCACAAAGTACTATTATCTGAATTTCTCAGCCATGATGACCCAATAGATCTGTTGCAAGGGTGTTCTGAAGTAAATTTATTCATCATTTATTATTTTAATATTGAATGAATATTTTAAAGGAATTTGTTATTTATTATATCTCATTTCAGATTGTTATTGATGATAAAAACATAGAAACACATCCAAAAACAACAACTGAAATAAAAGAATGTTGTAAAGATATAAAAGTTCTAGGAAGAAAAGATTTAAAAGCATTGCTAAGTTGGATAAAGCAAATAAAGGAATGGAAGACATCTCTTCTTCCTTCTGAGGTAAGGTCCATGTGGTGTTGCTTTATTTGTTTAGAAATCAGGTATGCTATACACATACTTTTTATTTATTTATTTTTTAATTTATACATATGTTTCTATTTTCAATCTTTATTCTATATATAAAATCTATTTATTTGCATGAATTACCTTAATTTAACTGACTTTATTGCTTTTATTATGTGTACACCACTGGCCCAAACTCCTTCTATATATTAAAATAAAATGAAATGTTTAGGACCCCACACTCAAAGGAACATTAGCAACTGATACATCGGAAAAAGCCGAATCGGGAGATGAAAATAATGATGTGGATATGGAAGTTGCTGGCTTACAGGTAAATAAGTAAAAATATATTTTATATTTTATTGTTGTAAATAATTGTTTCGTTTGTTATAAATTATATACTCTTTCCTTCTAGTAGATCACCAACACGTACGCCCGGTTTCTAAAACATGCATCATTCTGATCGTGATCAATTCAAAGAGTTTAACCATCCTTTTTACGACTAAAATGAAATTTGAAAAGTCATTTGACAGCTGATTAGTTGACATCTACAATGATCAGTGTTTCAGAAACTGGGCGTTACAATCACAAAGAAAGCACGTAACTTTGAAAATAATAAAATTTGAATAAATTACAGGATGAGGAGAGACGTCAGCTTAAGCGTAAAAGAAAACAACTAAATAAACAGCGACAAAAACTAGCTGAAAAAATGAACTTAAAAATGGTATTAAAAGGTGATGGTGGCCCCATTATGGAGAGTCATGACATGTTTAGACTTTCTGACATAAAAAATACACAGGTATAAATATCATTATCCAACATGTTATTGTAATATATTACTTTTTTTATGTGAAGAGGTGGCCACCAAGCTGGTGGTTTACCTGATGTTAAGTGAAAACTGGTGCCCATGGACATGTAAAACATCCATCTACAACTACCCTACCAGGTAGGGTTGTAAATGTTTTGACATATTTTAATAAAGTGAGACCTGTTTACCTCACTCACCACACGAAATACAGATATATCACGTCCACTACACACCTGTTTCTGAGATTCTGTGGTATAAATTTGAATGAGTCTGCCCATATGTTCAAAAACAGCTGCATGGTTTCTACAGTGTAATAATATTATTTTTGTAACGAAATATTGTGAAGTATTATAAAATTTCATCACCCGAAATAAAGCCATTAACTTTAATTATGCAAAAATTATGCAGCTTTATGTACAGAATCTAACATCTCCTCTTTACTTTATAAGAAATATTCCGCTTTAATTATTTCTGAAAGATAAATCTCCGTATATTAACTGTTTAGTTAGATCAAGTCAACTACCAGTATCGCAATTTGTACTGGCTCATGGGACGAAATTTTCTACTATTGATAAACAACAAGCTTCTTATCTATAATTCTGTGTTAAAACCAGTTTGGACATACGGAATGCAGATATGGGGTGTTACAAGTAAAAGTAACATACTCTGTCTACAACGACTACAAAATTGCATTCTGAGGACAATGGTCCACACTCCTTGGTTCACAACAAATGATGAAATTCATCAATATCTGAACATGCCGACTGTCATATCTGAGATCGGGCGATACAGAAAACCATACATAGAGCAGCTATTCTTACACCGAAATCCACTCTTAACTGATTTACTGGACCCGACTGTGGTCGAGAGACTTAAACGGGATAAAACGGGCGGCGTTGGCTACCCCACCAGAAAAGCCATAAATCATCATGCAACAAATTTGTTTATGGTCCAACGACCGATTGCAAATTTACCAAGGAAAACAAAACTATTTAGTCAACTTGTTTAAAACAAATTTGTTAATTTAAAAAGTTGTCAATTTGAATTAATAACTAATTGTAAATATAATTTTTTTTAGTGCTAATCTCTGCACTTAAGATTAAACATTGAAATTTGTAGAAAAAGTACGAAAAGATTGTCGCCGCTGTGGGTATCTAACCCACGACTTCGGTATTCGCGGCCTGACGCTTTAGCCACTAAGTTAAATGGCTGACTGCCACACCGACGAAAATCTTAACGTCTTTTATCTACATTGTTTTTACTACTTACTTTTTCTACAAATTACAATGTTCAATCTTAAGTGCAGAGATTAGCACTATAAAAAAATTTAAATTTCTATGAAGCAATGGCGACATCTCTCGTTCGAATTATCGTTTTAAAACGATATTCGAAATTGTTTGTGTGCTGGAAAGGATATAGCAATGGATGCGCCAAGCATTGCTTCAAATGCTAACAAATAATGTAGATAAAAGACGTTAAGATTTTTGTTAAGCGTTAGGCCGCGAATGCCGATTATGCGGATTCGATTCCCACAGCGGCGACAATCTTTTCGTAATTTTTCTACTAATTTCAATAATAATAATTGTTTTTAATTAAATTAATATTAATAAAGGATTTTTTTACAACTTTATCTACACCTAAAATTTAAAATGTTCCATTTCTCTTAACAGGAATTGAACCACATGCTTGATCAACAACCTGATATTGTGGCTGAAGGAAGTGATGAGTCCGATGATGAACTTAAATCAAAACCAAAATATATTAAATATGATATTGAATCTTCTAAATTAGACTCTTCTGGCCTCTTTTATAAAGACTCTGATAGTGACATAGAAATGGAAACAGATTCAGAAGATGAAAAAGATAAAGAGTCTTTAGGTATGTTAAATTTCCTTGGTGCTGATCAACGACCTACTTTGCACAATAAGTTATCAATTACAGTTATACAGGTCATGGAATACAAAATGAAAAATGTTTGTGAATACTTTTTTTTTAATAAATATTTTTTATTCACCATTTTACCCAGTCAGATAATAGCTACCGATTGAGCCGAGGTCTGGCCCTCTCGGGTAACCTCGAATAGGAATGCTAAACGCTTATTAAGTGACAGCCCAAGCCGAGGCCCCCTCGGGGACCCTTGAGCCTAGTCACTCCATGTAGCGTCCGCCAAAGCGCCCTAAGAGCTTGGCGACCTACCAATTCGGCGAAACTAATAGCATGATAGCCTGAGCCGAGGCACCCTCGGGAGCCCACGAGCTTTCTCACCATAACGCGTAATAATAATACGCCGAGGCTCAGACTACCCGAGCGATCTGCCACCTCAATTCCGGCGAAACTGTAACGGCAACAGTGCTCTTTAAGCCAAAAAAATCACCACTTTTAACATGTAGCAAATAAGGACTTAAACTGTAGTTATTAATTGTAATTGGCAAAAACAGTATTTTAACTTGATTCTTTCACTATATAAGGTACATACAATATTTAATTTATTATCATTTTACAGCTTTTTCAGATTCTGACAATGAATCAAAAAAAATTGCAAAACTTACCAAACTGAACACCCTAAAGAACAGTAAAATTGAAATAAAACCATCTATTCCTAAGAACAATCCACTGTTAACTGATCTGGATAACACTGATCCAATGTCTAAGCGATCTATGAAAGCTGAGCTGTGGTTCCAAAAAGACAGTTTTAAAGAAATAGATGAAGATGATGATGAGGGAGTAGATTTAGACAAGCTAGCTGAAACATATAGACAAAAAGGTTAGTTTTTAAAACTTCTTTTGTTATACATATACAATAAAAATTAGGGAAAAATAATATAAGCCATATTATCAAAAACTTTGTGCTCAATATTCAGATGTTGCTCATTACAGAACATCTTTAAGACCATGGTACGTGTTAATAAAAAAAGATCTTAGAATATTTATTTTTGTGAATATTCTTTCTGAATAATGTATTACAATCAATGAATTATGGCATATGTAATATGAAATATTTCATAATTATTTAAATTGTTATCATTTTGAACCTAGGCAAGAAAGTTCCAGAAGATAATACATACTCCCCTGCAGAAAAAGTTAGCATTAAAAAACTTTTAGAGAAAACTGAAAACTCAGAAAGTGATGATTCATCAGAAAGTGACTATGATGTGGAAGACAGTATTGCTCCAGTTACAAAAGCTAGTGGAAAAAGTAGCAAAAAAGATAGTTTTGAAGTAGTATCACAGGATCCAGGTAAGTAGATAATACTATTCTAAAGATATGATAAATAATCGAAAATGTTTAACATAACAACTGTTGCAGATCTTAAAAGAATAAAGAAAACATTAAAAATGGATGCAGAAACTTTAGCTCTAGGAACAATGATAGCAACTTCTAAGAAATTTAAGCGAGATTTAATTGATGACGCATGGAATAGATATGCATTTAATGACAAAAACTTGCCTGATTGGTTTACGGAGGACGAAAAGAAACATATGCGCAAGGATGTTATAGTACCAGAGGTAATAAAGTTTATTTATAGCAACTTGTATTTTTAAAATCAACATGTTTTTCACAAAAATAAAGTAGCTCACAATTCTTTAATAATTCCTACTCACTCCCTAGGCACTCCAATATTGTGTTAATTTATAAGTAGCAAATATAAATGAAATAAGTTTTACCAATTCTCAACTTTATTTTTATAGAAATATGTTGAAGAATATAGAAATCGAACGCAAGAAATCAACGTAAGGCCAATAAAGAAAGTAATTGAAGCAAAGGCAAGGAAGAAGAAGCGTATGATAAAGAAGATGGAGCGTGCCAAGAAGAAGGTAGAAGCGGTTATGGATAATGCAGATATGTCTGAAAGAGAGAAGGCACAACAAATAAAGCAACTGTATAAAAAGGCCAAAACCGATGGCAAAAAGAAAGTAACTTACGTCGTCGCTAAGAAACATACTTCGGCAAAAAGAATGAAGAGACCAGCGGGAGTTAAAGGGCATTATAAGGTTGTTGATCCCCGTATGAAGAAAGATTTGCGCGCGCAAAAAGCAAAGGAGAAGACAAAGGGTCGCGGCAAAAAAGGCACTGCTAATAATAGGGCCCCTCCAAAAAAGAAAGGTACAAAAAAGAAGGCTAAATAACTCTGAAGATTTCAGTTTTGAAATAAATAAATATGTTCAATAACCGTCACTTCTGTTTTAATTTTCCTGATAACATAGAATGGATAAGAAAGTGTGTAGCGGAAAACACGCATACGTAATTTTCGTATTTATTTTTATTGCTCTTGTGGACCTTCAATGGATTTTTAGTATACATACTGTGGTAGGTATTTAATAATGTTATAAAGTAAATTTTCATAAAGCTGCACAGTGTAATACGGATAGATTGGCTTTATTCAAAAGCGATATTTTTAATTGGAGTTCAGGGTCGGTGTTATTCGAGCCTTCGTGCGTCACTCGCGTCTAACAGCTACAGTTCAGGGACAAGCACGCCGTAAATGATATCATTCCGCTGTTTGACCTTGGTGTCTTATTCTGGTTTGCCCCAACTACGCTGTCTGCTTAGTAATTGGCATCAAAATATGTTTATTTTTTCGTATATCTGACGAAATACGATTATTGTTATCGATACTGCGTGTGTATCTAATAATTTAATACTTAAATTTAGTAATTCTATAAAACCGGACATTCTAAGGTAAATAAAATTTTGTCTAATATTACTTACCTGTTACCATATCAAATAGCAAAAATAACCTATTTCATTGTGGAAGACGTAAATAGACCGCTTATATATATATATAATAGAATTACCGCGTAACTTTCTTTGTACGTCAAGGAAAGTAACGCGTTAAACTGTCATATCAATATGACTGAAATAGTCCGAACATCAGAATTTCAGAGCGACGCGGTCGTGGTGTGGGTGTGGTGATATCGGGTGGGCTACGTCAGGTAGGAGGCATTCGGGGCGCGCTATATCGAGCGCGCCCGCGCGATCACGGCCAAGGTCGCCCCTGCCCCATGCTACCTTAATGCCCTCTATGATTATTTTAAAAAATTTCTGTGTCAATTTAGCAATGGTATATTCATGTGGAAAGTGCCGAATGCTATTTGATTAGTGTTAAACAAGTTAAAAAAACGTGATTTTTCCATCTCGTAGTTGTTACACTGTAATAGATTCGTTATAAGTTTTTCTCATGAATGAATATGTATATAACCTATCATGTGAAAAAACTTTGGTGAATTCTACGATCGACAGCGAAGGAACTTGGCCTAAAAGTCATGTCTATTTGAAAATTTCTCCTCTATGCAAAATGTAAATGACTACTGTAACAAACATTTTTTTATACGTGCCAGCGTAACGCGTGTCGCATAATGCTAGTTATATATTATAAAAATATAATTTGAAAGTCAATTTAGGAATAATATTTGTTCCAGTGGGTTGCTAATTTTAATTTCCAAAGGGTATCGTCGTTGTGACGTCCTCTGAGGCGCAGGTAGGCTGTAGGGTGCGGGGCGGCGCGGCGGGGTGGCGTCGGGTCGACCTCGCCCTCGCAAGGTCGTGGGTTCCATTCCACTCCAGTACGCGAGAAGCTTCATCCCACTAGCCACCATAATACATATATATATATATTGTATTTCTCAAAAAAATTATGAGGAAGAATAAATTATTTTACTCCTTATTTCGTTCTAACAAAAAATAATTTCATTTCTAAGTGAAAGTTATTGAAACTAGTACTATTTCTACGTAGATCTCCGTTTGAAGGCGAATAGTCATCGTAAAAGCATAGCTGCTGTCTTTTAATTCGTAGTAACTGTGGAAGGGCCACGCAACAGTATTCACTGTTGCACGAATGGGCAGGTCCATCCTCCGGGTAAGTACCATGACCTCACAGAAGACCGGCGTAAAGTAGAAGTGTTACACTTTTGCTTTTCGTGTGGTGAGTGATGTAGTCGGAGCCCACTTCATTTAAAGGTGGCAATACATCTGCAACCCTGCGGGTGTCTATCCATGAGCGGCGGTTATCACTTGAAATCAGTTGAACCGCCGGCTTGTTAGCCACTATCTCACATAAATAATTGTTATAAATACTTAATCTTTTAGCAAATATGTATAAAATATATTTCAGTATAGTACTAGTTGAACTTAAATTAATTTCAAAGTAATATTCAAACTACACCAAATCAAGAAATGTTTTATGAATAAAATGGGTTAATATAGGTTGACAAAATATTAGTAACGATATTTATTATTCTTTTTCATTCAATAGTTTTAGAATGTATATCTTAATAAATAAAAAATGAATGGTGGTAAGCGCTGTATATATGACTCAAGAATGGCTGGATCAATTCGGCTAATTTATTTTTTTGTATGTTTCTTAAGGTCCACGGAAGGTTTTAATACTATAAAAAAAGAACGAGATCTGCCAGGACAGCTAGTTTTTGAACTATCTTTGTATAACTGGACAGATGGATATAAGATTGGTTTGAAAGTAAAAACTTTTAATATAGCTTTTTGAGCAATCTCAAGTGGCCTGCAATTTGATTTACCTGCTCCACCCCAGCATGAAACACAATAAGAAATAATAGACTGACATAGCGCATAATATACATTACGAACAATACAAGGATTTGCAACATGTAGAGTTTTTAAATATATATATTATTTTGCGAAGTCTGGATGTAAGAAGATTGATTTAAGATGTCTGTCTATTATTATGCCGAGGTACATTAAGTTCTCACTGGAAGAAATTTGTGGGCATTGGCAAGGACATACTTGGCGAGAACAAGAGCGAACTTTTATAACAATAGGAATTTTGGGTTGCGAGGAAGAACTAATAGAAAATGGTATAAATTTAGTTTTCGAAGTATTGAGGGTAAGAGTATGAGATAAGAGCCAGTTATGCACAGTATTAAAACCGAGTTTCCTTTGAAGGGCTGACCAGGCTTAGAAAGTAATCGCTGTGTCATCTGCAAAGGTGATTATTTTTGCACTATTGATTTTTAAATTGCATAAGTCGTTTATAAATACAAGAAACAAAGTTGGACCGAGAATACTTTCTTGAGGTACACCGTAAGATAACGGATAATAATCTTGTATCTTGTATTAACTGATGTTTCTGCTTTCAGTCCCGAGACTATTAAAGCTTCATCTGACGCAGAACCGGTAGGCTAGCCAGAACCCACGGGTTTGGGCTTGTATATTGTGGCGTACGAAGCCACTTCTTTATAGGTGGCGGCTTTCATTTTGAGTTTGAGTACAATTGAGTTGTATGTTTAAGGAGTATGACTTTTGTATGACAAGCAAAAATTGACAAAACGCTCACCAATTTCCACAATTTTTGTAGTAAACTCAGTTTAAAATCGATACAACTAGCTATCGTTTAAGTCTAAAGCTGTAATAACTTAGACTGTATTATTTTATTGTAATCCAGTATGATATTATTTTCATATCATAGGATGACTCTGTGGCGCAGTTGCCCAGGTATCGACTTCGGCGTCGGGGGTCGTGGGTTCGATTCCCACACGGGACAACTATTTGTGCGACCCACAGATAGTTGTTTCGTATCTGGGTGTTTGTCCACGTGGAATTTATGTTTGTAAAAACGTCCTTACAACACAGGATAATGTTATCCTAAAGTGAGGGCAATGTAAAAAAAAAAGTCAAAAAAATACAGGCGCCAAGAGCAAAGATAAAATGTTTAAACATGGATTGGATTGTCAAAAAATATGTTTACAACTAGCTGTGCCCGCGACTTCGTCGGCGTGAAATTTAAATAAACAAAATTTCTAAAATAAAAGTATCTGAAGGTACTCCTTATTACATTAACTATCTGCCAGCGAATGTCCCGTTAAAATCGGTTCAGCCGCTTCAGATATCTTTTTTCTTTCTTTAGCCGTTCTTTTACAATTTCTTTGAATTTAGTAACTGATTAATTTTGAGAAAAGAACCAAGGGGTTTGACTAACATTCAGAAAGCGAAACTGTACCGGTTATGATTTATTTTTAATATGCATTCGGAAAATACTTGGGCTTGGCAAGGATGTATTGTTGGAATCAGCGATCGAATTGGGGAGTCGATAATTCATGGAACTTGATGTCTATATAATGAGTACATAAATATATCCAATTGAATCTTCATATATCGAGTAAACCATAACATGTGTAAATATTATTCAAATCAAATCAAAAATATATTTATTCAAATAGACGCTTGTGCGTTCTTATAAATCTTCAAATTTTACATTTTTTATGTTATATAGGTTTTTATTATAGTATATATAGTATAAATTCCACGCAGACGAGGACGCGGATCCCAACCATCTGGTGGTAAACGCAGCAAATTACCAACCCGACACAAACGCGAACGTCAACAAGCGTCGCCCGCGAAACGTCCTCATCGACCCGGCCGAGGAAGGGGACTTAGATACGTCAGACCCAACATCGGTGGTCCCGCCGGATAACACAACACCCACAGCTAGTGTAACAACAAACACAATAGTTCGCCATCGCCTCCGAGCACGGCGAGACCAACACAACGCGTTCACAAGGTACACCCGCGTTCCAACACTGTCGACGGCCATCGGGGTCCCGGTCCGAACCGCAACCTCGATGGCCCTTAGATGACATACCATAGTTAAACGCACGCATGAGCACATGCGTGGCCCTACCCACAGCGGAGGGCCTAAACCCGTGTGTTCTGGCTAGCCCACCGGTTCTGCGTCAGATGAAGCTTTAATAGTCTCGGGACTGAAAACAAAAACATCAGTTAATACAAGATACAAGGAAGGTAAATTGGATAGTACTTGATTTAGGTCGCCCGTGATTAGGATCGGAGTTGTTATAGATTCATTCCTGCGTCTGATTTTATTCTCAGGATGAAATACAAAAGTGCTAACATTCCTCGGTCGTACCGGCACGGATCAAACGTAATAGTCTACTGAAGCGGAAGGAACGTCAATGGCAAATAAACACACATTACTGAACACCTTGTGCGTATACATATCGTTCTTCAAAACTTTAATAACTCTACATTAAATGAATAACATTTTTATGTAATAAAAGTTCAAGCCTAAAAATATATTATTAATAATAAGTTAGAAGAAGTAATTGGAAGTTTTTTTTTCATTTGGTACATCATT